ACTGTCAATCTAAACACATCATTTCTGACTATTCTCCGAGTCATTTATAAATAGTTGTGAATGGGAGTTGATTAACTCCTTTCATTTAGCTTAAAGAATGGCTTATCCTGCAAGTCAAATATCTGACTCTTCAGGAAATTCAACAGGAAATTCAGAAAAGAATTCTACCTCTCTCTAGCCAAGGATAATCCCAGATTGTGTGTTTAGATTGACAGTTAATATATGCACATATGTACTAGTCGTTCCCGATTCTAGGGGGCAGTGCTCATCTCCGTTTCAAAGCCGAAGAGCCAGCGCTGTCCAAAGACGTCTCCGTAGTCATGTGGCCAGCATGACTAAACGTCAAAGGCGCATGGAACGCTGTTACCTTCCCACCAAAGGTGGTTCCTATTTTTCTACTTGCATTTTTTACATGTTTTCAAACTGCTAGGTTGGCAGAAGCTGGGACAAGTAACGAGAGCTCACTCCATTACGAGGCATTAGGGATTTAAACCGCTGAACTGTTGACCTTTCTGATTAACAAGCTCAGCATCTTAGTCACTGAGTCACCGCATCCCTTTGCGGGTTAATACTACCATAATTAAATCACATAAATTATGATAGCACTTTTACCTCTGAGGATGGGTTTCTTCTTGATTAACCCAAGGGAAGCAGAAGAGAATCTCAGAGTGCATGCCACATTTCATCATGTAGGTCCACAATGACAATTGTTCTCACTGGGGAATGGCCTGTATCCCACAGGAAGACAGCTTTGGGTTCTGCCATAGTAAGATTCTAAATGGCAGAGCCTCCTGCTTGCTGTATCTAAATGAGAGCTAACTGCTTAAGAGCAAGTTACTACATAAAGGACCTTCATATAAATTTTAGAAATCAATCAATCAGTTCATGCCATACATCTCATGAAAGTTCCCTGAAAAGAACCTGCTAAAAGAAGGGAAGATGGAGAAACTAGCTTTTGGGAACATCCGTTCAGTCAATGCAATAATGAAAGTAACCTAAAGAAATTCTTTCTTTTTGCCATGATATCCTCACTTAATACAACTTTTTAAAATTACAGATCCACCCTTCCCCCTAGATATTCCTATTAGGGAATATTTTTGGGAGTCTGCCATTATTATCATGGGAAATCTATTTAGTAAGCCATTTGGATCGAACAACATCTTTACCTCACCAGATGGATTCAAGAATCTTGGATACATTTCACATCTGACCTTAAATGCATACAATTTTCAAGTTTATAAAAATAATAAAAAATAAAGGTTATGCTTATGTGATATCCATATGCATATTACGCACACACATTATTTTTTTAAAGGTAATCCTTCATGACCTATACGTAAAAAGAGATGCAAAGAAAAGTACAAGAAAAATGAAACAATTGTCAGATACAACAATTAAAAGAGACCTATTTTGGTACAGATGAGCAGAAGAGTGTTTTTTAAAGTTTGTTTTCTATCTAATTTTCAGCTCACAGTGCACTCTGTGAAATACTTTGCTTTTGGCTGATTAAATTTTTAAATTCTACACATATGGAAGAAGGAGAAACAAGAATACGCCCCCTCTTTTTAAAAATATATCAATGTGTATACCCACTGCAAAGCAGAAAGCTAGGCTGCATTTTCCAAGTTTTCTTATTATCACTTCTCATAACTCTTTCAATCCGAATTTTGCTGAAGGCCTTCTTCAGGCACAGTTAAGAAATTGATCTCTATCTAATTTTTACATTCACTCTTTCTACTTTTTTCTTTTGTAGAAGGGAACAATAACAGCATTCTTCCAATTGTCATGCACACATGCAGCCTTTTACACAAACAAGCTACATAATCACTCCATAAACCAGTGTTTCTCAACCTTGGCAACTTGAAGATGTCCGGACTTCAACTCCCAGAATCCCCCAGCCAGCATTCGCCACATCCATATTTTAACATTTTTTTTCAGTAACACCTGCCCCCTTTTTACTTTCAGCCCGCTCATTATGATTTCCTTTTCACCCATTTTTCTGGAATATTAACATTTACAGCATTCATTTCAAATCCATTTTTATACCACTTGCATTTCATATAAATCTCCATTCCTTCCACAATTCTCTTCCTTCAGCTTCATCTCAGATTGTAGTTCAACATTTAATTTTTTGCATTTACTCTCCTCAAGGCACCTGGTTTATGCCTTTTCACTCATTTCCACCAAAAATTGTTTGCAGCTTTTTCCTTTTTATACACATTATACCAGTGTTTCTCAACCTTAGCAATTTGAAGATGTCTGGACTTCACTCCCAGAATTCCCCAGCCAGCTTCAAGTTGCCAAGGTTGAGAAACACTGCATTATACAATATAATTATAATTATCTTCATTTTTAGAGAACTTGCTCTCAATTCTCTTTTTTTCTTCATCCACAATTTCTTTCACTTCATTTCTTCAGGCTCTAAAGACCGGTCTCTTTGCCAAGGCCTTTGTCAAGGGTGATAGAAATCCTCTTTTCCTTTGTTCCCATTGGTTTCCTCATTTCTGCCTTCTTTATTCTCCTTTATACAGGCAGTCCTCGATTTATAACAGTTCATTTATGTCTGTTTAGAGTTACAACAGCACTGAAAAAAAGACTCATGACTGTTTTTCACACTTATGACCACTGCAGCATCCCATTGGCCACGTGATCAAAATTCAGAGGCGTGGCTGACTCATATTTATGACGGTTGCAGTGTCCAGGGGGGTCATGGAATCAACTTTTGCAACCTTATGACAAGTAACGTCAATTGGGAAGCCAGAATAATTTAACAACCTTGTTACTAACTTAACAACTGCAATGATTCGCTTAATAAGTGTGCAAAGAAATTTTGTAAAATGGGGCAAAACTCACTTAACATCTGTCTCGCGTAGTAACAGAAATTTTGGGTTCAATTACGGACGTAAATTGAGGACTACCTGTACTTTCTCGTTTCCTTGTTTTTAAACAATTTTAACCATTTGCAAACCGCTCAGAGTTGCTGGGAATTGAGTGGCATCTAAAGTTAATACACTTTTATTATCCATCAAACATCCTTTTCATACTTCTCATTATTGCAACCTCACACCCCCACACGGCAGTCCAAAATATTCTTTTTACTCCCTTCCAAGCCATTTCTACATGTTGTTTCCTTTCATCCACTTTCCATTTATTCTGTGAGGAGAGTCCAAAAGATACTAATTCTAAACAGTTTTATTGTCTGAAATGCTTTACAAGGAACATGACAAGGAAGGGATGAGAAACAGAGACATATTGAGCCAACATGAGAAATGGACTATTTTACAGAGAGCATGGATGGGCACTTGAAACTACCTACGATTCATATAGTTTTTGTCCTCCAAAACAGGGGTCTCCAACCTTAGCAACTTTAAGACTTGGGGACTTCAACGCCCAGAATTCCTCAGCCAGAATTCTGGGAGTTGAAGTCCACAAGACTTAAAGTTGCTAAGGTTGGAGACCCCTGCTCCAAAAGACTGTATGATGGACTGATGATCAACACAGTCACTTGGCTACTGTTTGGAAAAGGACTGCAGATTTTCTGCTGACATTAATGGCATGACACCAAGCAATCTAATTTCTGCCAGCTAACTGTTAATGTAATAGTAATAAGAAATCAGTGAACTGTTAACAGCTGGGAGAAAACTTCATTACTTTCTCTTTCTTCAGAGTAATTCAAGACAGCAGTACAAGGGAGGGAGAGGAAGGAGAGAGAGCCAAAGTGTCTCAGGGGAACTGGGTGGTGGAGCTGTGAAAGGATTCTAATCCGAACTGTTTCAAATTAAATATAAATCAAATCAAATTTTAAACATTCTGCTTTGAATAGAGAAGATCTGCCTTGAGTGCAAAACAGGCGGGTTTAAACATTTCAAATATGCTACAAGTTTGAATTGGATCTGTTACAGTAACAGTATAACACGAGTCAGAAGAGACCTCGGAGGTCCTCTGGTCCAGCCCCGTTGAAGCTAGAGACCCTAAAGAAGGTAAAGGTAAAGGTTCACCTCGCACATATGTGCTAGTCGTTCCCGACTCTAGGGGGTGGTGCTCATCCGTTTCAAAGCTGAAGAGCCAGCGCT